AAATTTTTTTGCTTTGTTTTGTTTTTTGTTTTTTTTGAATGTCCAGAGGACCAGATTGAACTTTTTTGGATTTTTCTACCTGGATTATTGAGCATGCATCAGGATGTTCCAGTAAAAGCCTTTCTACGTGATGCAGCAAGCCAATAAAAACTCTATTCCTTGACGGCTATTGAATCCCTTGGAGACTCTCTTTAGAGTTGCTGGCCCCATTTAAACCAGTCAGAACTGGGTCATAATTTTGTTATAATCCCGTCTCTGAGTAGATCAAAAAACCCTGGGTCAGTCGAGATAAAAATACTAACATAAAGGATACATTTTTAAATGAATCTCACATTGATACATCCCGAATTATATTCTTGATTGCCAGTTAGACCAATTCCCTGTATTTTGCATTAATCAGAAAACATTTGGATTTTCTGTTAAAAGATGAAATATATATATTTGCTGTTTACAGCTGGATCAGAAGCACAGCCTGTTAACATTATTTGCACCGGATTTCCATACTTTTAGTTAAGCAGAAGTATTGAACCCTGTGACTGGCGGGAGATGTTTGTAGCTCAGGTGTATCATGTTACTTATTTTACGACTAATAAATAGTGCATGTTTACTGTCAATTTCAGATAGTTTTTTTTTAACCTATGCAGACCTGTGCATCTCTCCTTATCTTTTTTATTAGAACACGATGCCACACTCAATGACTTGTCTCAGAACCTCTCCATCAATGTCTTCCTGTTCGGATCCCTGGCGAAGAGCTTCAGTGAAGTTGTCAGTGAGGGGGTAAGTTATTTCCTTCATCAAACATCTTACCCTCCTCTGTTATTCCATGCCTCTTTTACTGTTTATTGTTGATTACATCAAGACGTTGGATTAATTATAGGGGGAGGACAAGTGTTTTGCTATGACTGTTTCAATTTGAACTGCATCTTTAGCTCAAGTTTCTCTCTAATGCCCTTTTTCCATTAGTACCTTTAGTACTGGTACAGCACGGTTCTGCTCGGTACCGTACACGTTTCCATTATGCTTTCAGTACCTGTTCCAGTGGGCAGGGTTCAAATTGACATCACGCCCCTTATCAGCTGGTGGCAGTAATGCTGGTGGTAAGAAAGGCAGCACGACGACTCAGTGGTTAGCACTGTTGTGTCACAGTAAGAAGGTCCTGGGTTCAATCCCTGCTTGGACCTGGGGTCATTCTGTGTCGAGTTTGCATGTTCTTCTCGTGCTTGCGTGAGTTTTCTTCGGGTACTCCGGTTTCCTTCCACAGACCAAAAACATGCATGTTAGGCTGCATTCAGGCCCAGGTCTCCCTTGCAAAAGAGATCTGTGATCTCAATGGGATTTGCCTGGTTAAATAAAGTTTAATAATAATAATAATAATAAAAAAAAGACCCAGAAAACAGGCTTCAGTACAGGGTGAAAATTTATTTTTGAAGTTTCTGGTAATTAAAAAGAATACAGATTATTAAAATAATCAGATTGAACTATATATACATATATAGACTGATACATA